ATTCCACATTTGGAATAGAGGAAGTAGAACTTCTAGTTGGAAAAATATTGTTATGTGAAGGTATATGAATTCTAGCACTTCAACCTATTCATAATATTGTAAGTAAACCTATTTATAATATTCTATAAGTAAACCTATTTATAATATTCTTACACTCCAATATTATAAAGCAACTATTGAAACTCCAATATTATAAATAGTTGCTTAATTCTCAAGTGAAACATTAGAGTTTCAATAGTAAGTAAACCTATTTATAATATTGGAGTTTCAATAGAATTAAGCAATAATTCTAATTTATAAATCTATATAATATTATAAATAGGTTGTTGTATTTCACCAACTCTCCTTAACTCCTGTAACATAGTATTAATATGTTGATGCTCATACTCCGCATTTGGAATATAGGAAGTAGAACTTCTAGCAGGAAAAATAGGGTTATGTGAAGCTATATGAATTCTAGCACTTCTTTGAGGGATGAATTGAATTTGGACTTCCCCAATTGAGAATTCAACATTATAGATATTTCTCATCCAAAAGCTTTCAAAATTATTGAAACATATGCCTCTGAACTCGGTTATGGTGAAATCTTAAAACAAAGGTTTCAACTAACTGAAAAAGAAAAATTAGTATGATAAACCTTTCGAATTTAGAACACAGCACAACGGAATTTATTATATTTTATACATATGATAGGTTTTCTTTTATGCCTAGAAGATTTTTCTTTATTACTTTCATCAATACCAGTTTTTTTTTGTTTTTGGAATTTTTTCTAGATCTTTTAAATTTTTTCTTGTATGAATTAAAAGATCTTCCCTTATCAACTTCAGATTTGTGGAATTTTGTCTTTATGGATTCAAAACCAAATTGTTCACAGAAATCACCTAACTCTTTTCTTCTTGTCAGGTTTTGTTTTTTTAATTGTTTCCTTAGTGTTATGTTAGTACATATTTCTAAGCCTGTGGCACAGACGTCAGCAGATGATCCTACTAGATTATAAAGATCGTAATTTAG